TCTTAGGACAATATCCTGCTTCTTCGTGGAAGCTCCACAACTCTTTCTTTCTCAGTGAGTGATGTTGCTAGAAACCTGTCCCGTTTGGTGTAGTGGTTAGGGGTGTGGACTCTAATCCGGGAGAACCGGGTTTGATTCCCCACTCCTCCACATGCAGCTGCTGGGTGACCTTGGGTCAGTCACAAGTTCTCTCAGAGCTGGTCTCTCACGAGCAGTCCGCGAAAGAGCTCTCTCAGTCCCACCTACCTCACAGGGTGTCTGTTGTGGGGAGGGGAGGGGAAGGGGAAGGAGATGGGAAGCCGCTCGGAGACTCCAAGTGAAGGGCAGGGTATAAATCCAATCTCTTCTCTTCTCTCTCTGCTCTTTACTTCGCCCAAACACAGTAGACAAAGATCGTGACCGTCGTTAAGTGGGATTTTAGCTGGGCAACGACGACACGTCTTAAAAAACGTTGTCTTTCCCACACAAACGCCACCCCACCCACACAAAGAAGGGGGCAGGCGGACAAGAAAGAAAGTGGGGAAAAACAGTTAAAGTTTCCTTCTTTTTTAGAGATTAAACAGAAGATGAAAAAGAAGAATGACATAAGAACGAAGGTGAAAAGTATGCAGACGGAGAGTGAACAAAGAAGGGGGCAGGCGGACAAGAAAGAAAGTGGGGAAAAACAGTTAAAGTTTCCTTCTTTTTTAGAGATTAAACAGAAGATGAAAAAGAAGAATGACATAAGAACGAAGGTGAAAAGTATGCAGACGGAGAGTGATTTCAGCTAAGCATACCTTTATTTAGTTCAGGACAAAGACAACTGACTGGCTCGCAGGCCGGTTTATATACGTTCCGAAAACCCGCCACCAAGCATACCTAAACACACCCCCTACTCCCGATAGGCTATTTACAGTAACCGGGTGACCATTGGTCTCCCGGCTGGGAAGCTAGCCCTTTTGATAGGGCCGGCTAGGATCCTCCGGATCCTTTGTCTTTCGACTGAAGCTAACATAGGAATTGTGCCTGGCCAGCCCGGGCAAGTCCGGGCATGTCAGGCTGAATACATTACAAAAACAAAGGACTTTCAGCATAACCTCCTCCCACACCTACTACCAGGTTCACCACATTCCTGTCAGAATAAACTTAAAATGGCTCTCTCTCCTTTTTGGCTCCACCATGGTTGGCTGGCTAATGAGGTGGGCCAGCGACCATCAAACCATTCTCTTCAACCCCCTGCTGTGTGGCTGACTTTCCCCTAGGGTTGCTACTCTCCAGGTAGTACCTGAAGATCTCCTGCTGTTACAATTGATCTCCAGATGACAGAGATAGTTTCCCTGGAGAAAATGGCTGCTTTGGAGGGTAGACCCTATGGCATTATCCCCTGCTGAGTCCTTCCCCCCCACCCACCAATACTGCCCTCCACAGGATCCACCCCCCAAATCTCACACACAAAACTTGTGGTATAGTACTTGTATAAATGCTATAGCCACAGAAGGCTCTGAATGGACATGCTTCCTCTGTCTTAACTGCAGCAAAATGTCTGCTAGTAAGAAGGTGCAGCTGAATAAAAGCAACCTTTCACTCTCGCCTGATTGGATGACCTTTTTTCAGCCAAACCAATGGTTTTGTGAATTTAATGGGGCCAGGGCAAATTGATCCATTGCATTATCTTTTATGAAAAATAAAAGGAATGGGAAAGGCCACCTATATAAAAAACTCTAGTTTGATTTGCATAATAAAGATAAAATTCCATTTCCAGCCCCTAAATGGTGGTGGTGCCTGCAACCTTCTTACAAGGGATTAGAGGCATGACAGGAAATTAGGCCATTTAGCACTAATTCTGCCAAATCAGGTGAAGGATTTGAGCATTCTTACATGAGCCACCCTGCCACCAGCCAGGGTTTAGCTGAGCATGGGATTAGCTGGGCTGAACAGGATGTTTTTTGGGGGGGGCTATCAAATTGGCCCACCCCCCCTTTGCCTGCTTCATAATGTTAGTCTTGGTAAAAATATATATAGCTTAAAATTCAGGGGTGTCAAACATGTAGCCCAGGGGCCAGATCAGGTCCCCAGAGGGCTTCTATCCAGCCCAGAGTGGAACTGGCTGTCTTCTGCTTCTTCTTCCAGTTCTGCTGCTGCTGCATCATCGTAGGTTTGCAGCTTACAGATACACACCTGGACAGCATACTCAAGATTGCAACAGCACAGACATTTTGATTCAGAGCAAGAGGTGTCAGTTATCAGACAATGTTAAATAAACAAAATATTGCAAGAGTGCTAATGTTTTAAGCATGTTTTTATTTAAAGTTAAAAAAAAACCTTTGTGTTTGTGTCCTTTATGAAGTTTATATCTCCGCTACCTGGCATTATATTTTATGACACACATGGCCTGGCCCAACAAGGTCTCATTTATGTCAGATCCGGCCCTCATAACAAATGAGTTTGACACTCCTGGCTTAAATAGTTCTGTCTTGGGACTGGTGAGTATCTAGCTAGGTTGACAGGAAGGTGTGGGTTAATATGAGGTAGGCAAGAAAACTTGGTAAACACTAAGATCTATTGATGAAGGGAGGTCATTGAAGCCAGTCATATATCAGCTGTATGGTGCTGGGGCATGTGGAGTGGGCCCTTACTCAAGCAGTCTGTATGTGTGTTTGTGTGCGTGTGCTGTCAAGTCACAGCTGACTTATGGTGACCCTGTAGTGTTTTCAAGGCAAGAGATGTTCAGAGGTGGTTTGCCATTGCCTGCCTCTGTGTTATAACCCTGGTGTTCCTTGGAGGTCTCCCGTCCAAATACTAGCCAGAGCAGACCGTGCTTAGCTTCCAAGAAAAGTTGGGGTATTAAGACATTTATTTATTTTTATTTTTGCTGCAGATCAGTTTTAATAAACCTAATTTAATTCATCCTTTTGTTTCTCACATCTTCATTCTGGGGTGTGTGGGCAATACTGAGGGTGTTTTTCCCCAGACTGAAATAACTGGAATCAGAAATGCAAAAATAATTCATAATTTAAATACAGTTCTGCCAGGAAATTTTGACATGCAGCATTACCCATTTGGGAAGAGACACTTTCAGAAGTTGTAGATGCCAGGATGATAAGAACTGTAAAGGTCAATTACAGCACCCTAGATTGATAGACTATTCAGTTTTCCAGTAGCAAAACCAAGAAGATCCTACAAGTACATGCAGATTCTCAACTTCCTTTGACAGAGCACCCAAGATGAGAGCCCACTGAAAGAAACCTCAATGATTCTTCAACAACATAATTTCTGTCTTGTTTGGATTCAGCTTCAGTCTAGTAGCCTTTATTACATGATCTGTAGACTTAGTTTGAGGACTGAAACAGGTGGTCTTGGTTGCTGAGTAATATAAGACATATGCAGTTAGGTACAATTCAAGAAGGTTTTTTAATGGCATAAATTCTTTCCATAATGACATAAATTCTTTACATAAATGTGCCTTCAGTATTTTAATAGTAAACATCTACCACTTAAGCTTTAAAAATAAAATTATGCCTAAAACAGCACTGTACTGTCAACGATAATATTGGCATAATGTCTGCCTTATATCTAAGCCTGCTGGATATGGAAATTACATACAGTAAAAAAAGAAACATTTCCCTTTATCCATTGATCCTTTTAATCTTCTATATATTTTACCTACAGAGATATCTTTATTAATAGTTCTACAGAGGTTTAGTCTGCGGGATTCCTTAGATGTTGAGTATATGTTGTCCTGCTGCCTTTTAAGATCTGCTGAATCTAAGAACTTTAAGAAAAGTATGCCCTTATTCAAAGTCTTCTCTTTCACTTTGACTACTATTATCACAGTTCTTGTTTCATTATGAGAATAAAAGTTTTTCTTCCCACCTGATTTAGCTCTTCCCAAATTAGGTACTTCAAAATGGTAAATATTCTGGCAAAAGTTTTTACATTGTAGTTCATAGATCAGAAGAAACTTATAAGAAGAGATGGGAGAGAAAGGAAATGGAAATGGCCATTTCCTGTTTTCCAATACTTTTATTTTTCATATCAACTATACATTTCTCAGAGAACAATTGAAGATGTAGAAAAACAGAAAATTATTATGACCTTATTCATGTAAGATATATTTATCAGTCGGTTCATGAAACTATAATGAAACTTGATCCCTAAATAAAAGTCACATCTAATCCCATCATTAAGTCAAATTCCTGCTATCTATTCAGTTTTCAGTCTGGATGGTCCCACTTTCATTAACTTTATTATCCTACAGAATTATGAATACTAAATCTCTGAGATGTGGCAGGTTTTGATCAAAATATTAATGCACCATGAAAGATAAATGACAGTGTTGTTAAAGCGATGTCATCTAGAGATTCTTAACTCTGTAGGGAGAGGTCACATGGCCATCCTCCCTATTTCCCATTTTTTTACCTTGTTATTAAAATAGAAGCATGTTTTGTATCACTTACAGCTTTGAAGATAATCAGAGAAAGATGAACTGGCCATTAATAGATGTGACAATTAGTGAGGGGAAATTCAAGAAGCCATTTTAGAACAGAAATTGTTTCAATCACTGTAGGTCCTCTATGAAAAACCCAAGACCCAAAACACTTTGATCACATCATGTCCAGCTGTTCTAGATGATCAAATCTAGTGGTAAGTTGCTATGGAAAATGGTCTCAAGATATGTGGAAAACATTTATGAAACTTTTAATCATGTTCTACCTTCCACAAAAATTCATATATCATCTAAGAGGCATTTTCCCCTAGGGATCATCATTATCTAGAAGA